GTTGGCATTAATTTTTAGCTTAATTTAAAAACTGACAGAATGATGACACTCAACCTTTAATACAAGAAACAAATGTTCTTTTAGAAGGAGGATCATGAGAATCAAACACTTCATCAAGGCAATCTAATGTTGTGATATGCTTATAGTTAATATAGTGTATGTAGGAACACAAAATGATACACATAATTGAGCCAATGTATTTATTTTGAATAAGTAATGTATTGTGAAAAGGCCTTAATTGAATTGATATTTTCACAAGCTAGAACAGTTAATTCTACAATTCTCTCTTGCAATATTTTAACTAAATCCAGGTTGTCAATGAGTCACAGGAGTTTGTTATTAGCAATTCGATGGGCAATAGTAAAGGTACTTGTATAATTTGTCTTCCAGTATTATTACTGAATGTTAATTTAGATAAAGGATTGGCTTATACAAAAGGAACAAAGAGACAAGATTCTGAATCAGCTAGTCAAAGTAGACCTAAGAAGAGTTGCATAGAATATGAAGCAAGTTGGCATTAATTGTTACCTTATATTTGAATACTGACAGGATGACTTACTCCATGATGACACTCAAGCTTTATTACAAGAAGCAACTGTTCTTTTAGAAGGAGGATCATCAAAATCAAGCCTTTTATCAAGGCAATCTAATATTGTGGTATGCTTATAGTTATAGTGTATGTTGTAATGTAGCTAAACAAGTCTAACTGTGTAAAAATATTCCTATAATTGTTTATAAGAATATTTATAGGACCTACTACTGACAATTCAAGCAAACAATAATTAAGTCTAGCCATATATTATAGAACACATTACATTAAATATCAGTCTAAATGTGCTTTGCCATGCTACAATTTTATTACATATTTTAATAGGAGTTACTTATATCAATTGATAAAAAGTTAGACTATCTCATGCAAAAAGTACAGAACATAAAAGTTGCTAAGAAAGAAAATGATGAAGAGTCAGATTTTATAGTAAGTTAAATATGTATTTTTCTTTAATAAGTTGGTTGTATAGTGGAACGGATACAATCTCAAAGATATCCAAGCAAGAGATGCTAATGCTTATGCTAGAGCATTGCTAGAAAAGTTATTTACAAAAGAAGAACAGAAAAGAGGGATATTATTTCAGAGCAAAAAAAGTGCTCGTACTCCATTAGATCCTGAGAGAGTGAAGCTGATATTTTGTTAGTTCTTATACATTAGTGTCAATTAGGTACATATGCACTTTTTTAGGCTGCTTGGATTCCAAATTTCCTGGATATGACTTCTCACGAGTTCGGCATACAATTAATCAGAAATGTAGAGACGTCAAACTTTAAGCAATGGTCATTATTTAGAATTTTTAGACAGTTTAATAATTCTAATACATTTATTTCACTTAAAAGTAATTATTGATTTTCTTTTACAATGATAATAATTATAATTATTATGATAATTGCAAGATCATTCATAATCATGTGTTTAAGTTTTCACTAAGATTAGCAAAGGTTATTCTTAGCATCATGGTCATACAAGACCACATAATATCTTTGAAGCTCCAAGAAGATCAGGCAAGAAAAAAGCAATAATTCTTGTATGATCTTGTAACAAAATCTTGCATAATCATCACCAAAGATTAATGCAAGATCATGTTTGATCACAGTTAATTCTTAGCATCATGATCATAAAAGACCACAAGATACCTTTGTTCCAAATTCCAAAAAGATCTGGTAAGAAAAAAGCTAAGATTCTTACATGATCTTAAAAAGAAATCACGTTAAGATCTTGCTTTGGAATTTTCACAAGGGTTGAAGAAAAATAGGCACAAGCTGTAATTTGACATCTGAAGAGATGATTTAATTTTGATTCGGCATCCATTGTGACAAGTGCTCTTACGGGGTGTGATTATGTTTTAATTACATTGCATTGCATTCACTTTTATCTTGCATTACATCTTACCTTAAATTAACTAAGACTGTATTTGCTGAATGGAAGTGTATAGCTATGATAGACTGAGCACAAACAGCCCTACCTTTTAGAAGTTAGATTCGTCTCCACCCAGCGCTGTATATGCATACGAATAGACTTGCACCCATGGTTTTTTGTGTCCAGCTGCATAAAGTAAATTTAAGTCTTGTTGCTTTTCCTCTTGTCCACATAACTTGGATAGTTATTTGATCACTGATTGTGAGTATTTCTACTTGATATGTCCCTGGTCATAATTTTAGAACATATAATACTCATTGGAACGGATTTCTCCTTCGTCGACAATCATTCTTTCGATGTGCACAAAGTGTGCACATCGAAAGAATGATTTAACTGCTCAGTGGTGTAGCTGAGGTAGGACCTGACCGGGCCTGGGCCCTACCTATGTGGCTTGCATTGAAGCCACTACTCGTATGGGTGGCTTATGAGTAACCACATGTATATTGACATACAAGATGAGTAGTCAGCTCTCACTGTTTAAATATATAAGTAAATCTTCTAAGTCTTCCAATTCAGCTAATGAAAGCAATAGCAATGAAAGGAGGTGTGAAAGTGAGGCAGATAACACTATTAATGAAGAGGGAGATCAAAATGGTTAGAATAATCACAGTAAATAATTACTGAAACATCATCAGTACCCTGTCAACCTCTTACTCACTTTGCAGTCTCCTATTTATTGGGTAAAGCCAGGTCTTTCAATTTGGACCGGTACAAGCAATATTCCTGGCTGGAATACCCTGTTCAGAAAGAAGCTGCATTCTGCTTTCCTTGCCAACTATTTTTCTCATCATCTATTGGGCATAGCAGACCTGGGAAAGCTTCACAGAAATTGGGTTTCGGGACTGAATACATGCCACTGGAACCACAGGTGTTCTATTCAAACATGCTATTTGCACGACTTACAAGTTATCAGTGATTGCTTGGCAACAATATTTAGCTGCAAAAAAACATTAATCTGTAGCAGAGTAACTGGGTAGCAATAGAGCAGTGCAGATAAAGAAAAACGGACACTATATAGCGTCGAAGCTCTTTTACTCTGCAGCAAACAAAAGATAGCATTTTGTGGCCATGATGTGAATGTGACACTTCACTCGACAGTGGTAATTTCACAGAAATTCTTGGTCAGGTTGCTGGTTATGATTCTGTTGTCAAAGAATGGGTGTCTCGAGGCCCACGGAATGATGAGTACATTTCTCATAGAATTCAAAACAACATCTTATCAATAATGGCCACTCTTGTTAGGCAAAATATATGTTCAGGATACTACTCAATAATGGTCGATGAGACAAAAGACCTCTGCAAGCAGGAGCAACTGTCCATTGCTGTTTCATACATTTATGTCAACAAAACAGCACTAATGGAGCGTTTTCATTCATTCTTTTCTGCCAAAGCTCTTAAGGTGTAACTGCACCCCAAAACTTTTTTGCCTAGAATAAGTTGGTAATGAAGAGAGAATCATAGGAAAAATAGCTAAAATTATTAAAAAGTACTTTTTCTGTACTAAATCTTGGGTCAAAAGTTGCCTTGCAGCCATCTTGTCAAATCACTTCCTGTGGTGGGCGTGGTCACGTGATGACGTAAATGGGCGAAAATTAGCAAGTTTCTGCATTGAAATATTAGCAATTTTAAGGCTAGATTTCATAATTCTGCGTGCAAGAAAGCAGCTAAGAGGTATTTTTGCCATTATTAGAAGCTATACAGAGCTAAATTATGTAGTCCAAATTTAAATTTTTCATTTTAGCAGTTTTTACAATAAGACAATTGTGACCATAATTGACAAAAGGTACCTTATGGCGGATTTTAAAATTCATCAATATAATGAAAAATATCAACCTGTGAGTGCTCTGTTGAAGAACCATTGTTTCTAAAAGTTACATAGTAACTTTTTGCATCCTGTGGAGTAATTTTATAAGAAATGGAGCTCAGGAAGTTGGATTTTTATGGCTATAAAGACACATTTCACTACCCGCCATAAGGTACCTTTTGTCAATTATGGTCACAAATTTTGTTACCAGTATAACTGCTTGTATTTAGCACTTGATTTGTCCTATATGGTCCACTTCATTAAAATTGCTTTATTGCACACAGAGCTTAGAATTCCAGCCTTAAAGTTGCTAATATTTCAATGCAGAAACTTGCTAATATTCCCCATCTACGTCATCGCGTGACCACGCCCACTACAGGAAGTGATTTGACAAGATGGCTGCAAGGCAACTTTTGACCCAAGGTTTAGTATAGAAACAGTACTTTTTAATAATTTTAGCTTTTTTTCCTAGGATTCTTTCTTTATTAGCAACTTATTTTAGGGAAAAAATTTTTTGGGTGTAGTTACCCTTTAATGCAGAAAGTTCTACGCAGTATATTCCCGACACACTGACTTCATATAACTTAGATCCACAGATGATTGTGTCACAGGGGTATGATTGGGCCTTTGTTATGAGTGGCAGCTACAGTGGAGTTCAGATAAGGATTAAAGAAGTGGCCCACTGTGCCTCATATATTCATTGTCATGCTTATGTCTTAAATCTCATTTTGGTAGACTGTGCCAAGAATAACCAACATGCGGCAGTTTTTTTCACTCTTACAGCACTATATGTAATTGCATCGACCAGCAAGGGACATGCACTCTTCTATGAAAGCAGGAGCTTCATCCAAACAAACAGGTGAAGGAACTACGGTCTGTCAGACACTTGATGGGCTAGCCAAAGTTTAGCTCTTAATCCAATTTCAAGTACTTTTGACTCTCTCATTGAAACGCTAGGGTGTCTTGCTGGTGATAATGACAAAGCTAAAGCTGTGGAAGCCGAGAACCTTCTCCATCAAGTCCACTCTTTCAAGTTTGCAGCCACTTTGATAATATTTGATCGTATTTTATCTATTACAAAGTCATTGTCCGATCAGCTACAAGCTAAGAATCTTGATTTTTGATCTGCAACTAGTCTAGTTTTTTCAACCACAAAAACCCTGCAAGAGTTAACAACAGATAATTTATAGGATCATACATATGAATACATAAAGTCAGTATCGAACTTACATGGCATTGATGAATTTTTTAGGAACACAAGGAGGAGGTCCCCATCTAGGAGAATCCAACATTTTACTTTGCTTGAGCCAGTTGGTTATCGAAATCCACTTTCATGCAGTGATTCTATGAAGATCAATGTTTACTTTCCCGTTCTTGATCACATGCTGTTTGAAGTTTAAAGGAGATTTTCCAGCAAGAATCTAGACCTAATGAGAGCCTTTCATGCATGTAGTGCTTTATTTGATAATTTTCTAGACTACTAGTACCACATTTACATCAGTTCCTGTTCTGAGCCAGATGCTACTTCTAATCTGACTATTCTACCTGACAGTTGTTTTGAAGTGTAACTTTTTCTTTAAATGGTAATAAAAGTCGTTGAATTTGTTTTTTATTAAAAATGCTAGCCTCCCAAGACCAAATTTTACAGCATTGATAAGAATCTTTATGCCCCATTGATTGAAGTTGAAGGAAAAACTCCACAAAGAGCAACATGCTTTAAAACGGATACTACGTTAAAGTTTTCTCTTCACAAAGTTGAAAACCCAACTGAAAAACTGGCTAATGCAGTTGGCAGCTACTGGCAACAGAATTTGAAAGGATCATATGTTGCCATGTTGTTGATGGAACATTTGAATATTTTACGGAGCTATACCCAAATTCACCTATTATTAGTTAAGTGCTTACAGTTATCAAATCACTATCCAAACTCACTACACAAATAAATTTTTTGACTAGGACTTAACATGCCTATTACCAACGGAGAAACATTTAGCATCAACGGAACAATGTATGGATGCCTCAGTTGTATGCATGCATGACTCATGTGGAAGTAAAAATTTGCTGGCTTAGAAGTTATTGTCATTTGCAGTGTGTTGGTGTTACGATATCTTCTTTTCTCTTTACATCCAATACCACAATCATTAATGGGTGGAGGCACCATTGTTGTGTCACTTCTGAATGGGTTTTGCCAGCCATAACATAGACAAATCTCCTAAGCTCAAAATCCAGAAGACATGTCTGTCAACTGCTTGTTCCAGAGTTGTGCCATAATGAGAATAGTAGTTGTAGAGGATGGTCCAGGTGACTGATTGAACTGAATGAAGGACTTGGTGTTGTAAACAGTGGAAATATTGTTCAGAAAAATGGGTGGTTTTCCACGTCCACTAGGTCATTAATTAAACTCACCAGAATTGTTGTTGTAAATGTGTGATGTTGAACAGGAAACCTAGGGTGGTTGTGAATGATAGCAATTGAAGGTAGACTTATTTTTTCATGCTCTTCCGACAAAATCTGCTGCCGTTGCACATTTGTAAGGAGGATAGAAGAACAAGAGAAGCTCCTCTTTACTTTTCTTCTTGATGAGCTTTTCTCCACTGCCTTCTTTGGTACAGCATGACAT